CACTTTAAAAATTACATGAGTTACAGCAGTTTGTTTGTTGAGAGCTCTGACTGGGCCAACGAACGTTTTAGAAATACCTTTTATTCTTAAATGTTAAAAATACCTGTATTTTAAAATATTTAATTAAAGGACTGATAATTTGTCTTCTTGGATGAATTTTAAATAGTATAGTAATGCAATAACAGTCTTATTTTGTATTTGTACATATAAACCCAACAATATTTAGATTTACCATATTCAGGGCAAGATAAGCAGAATCAACAGTATCTGGTATTCAGAAGTCCTGGAATAAATTCTTTGTTTTTTTCCAGAAATAAGCCAGTTTGGTGTTAAACTTTCAAAATTGTTGCTTTTTGTAATCTGATTATAGAAAAAAGAATTGCAGATTTAACAAAAAGCTTCTAGGTATGATGAATTTTTGTGTGTGGAGGTTTGAAAATTGTGCCAGAGTTTGTTTTTGAATCCTTTTGATTTAATGAATATGTGTGCATAAATAGAGCTTCATTTTGAAAGCAGTTGATAAAGAATTAGAGGGTATTTATGACAACAAAAGAATAAGAACTTTAGTGTTGGTTGATTACTGTAGTTGTTTTGCCAACCAGCTATAAACATGAATGGAATGATGATTTAAGCACAGACCTGCACTTCTGTATGACACAAGACAAAATAAGTTCATGTCATGGATTTTAATTCATTATCTGCTAAACTCAACATGTACTTTAATAGTTCTAGCTAATTTCATTTTAACTTAGTCTGAGTTTCAAAACCTACAGTCTCAATGGAAGTTTATTTTAGTTGTCAATGATTTAGTTATGCTTATTTTAGAATGTTTAATTTCAAGAATTATAAAGTGCTTGCATAATGCTGTATTAAAATGTACTTAAATATTGTATACATATATAAGCATATGCTTCATATCTCTCTATAAATATACATATATAAACCAATACAAAAAAGTCATGTATGATTTGCTATTAATATTACTATTTCAGAATGATAAGTATTAAAGAATGATATCAGCAGTGGATACAATTGCTAGTGCAATGCAACATCCATTTCTGTGTGTCTGTATATTACTTTTCTTTAAAAAAAAGTCTAACTTGGCCAGGCATGGGAGCTCACCTCTGTAATCCCAGCACTTTGGGAGTCTCAGGACGCAGGCGATCACTTGAGCCAAGGAGTTCTAGATCAGCCTGGCCAACAAGGCAAAACCCCATCTCTTATTTAAAAACAAAACAAAACAAACAAACAAAAAAAAACAAACATTAGCTGGGCATGGTGGTGCACACCTGTAGTCCCAGCCACTCAGGAGGGTGGGGTGAGTGGATCTATAACACCTAGGAGGTAGAGGCAATCACGCCACTGCACACCAGCCTGAGCAACAGGGTGAGAACCTTGTCTCAAAAAAAAAAATCTAACTTGAGGGAAGGAGTATGTTTTAAATTCTGCTACCTAAACCTGCCTCATTTATAGACCATAAATAACTACCACTTACTTTTATGAGGGTTTATGAGGATTGAAATAGAAATAATATTTATCATCTAGCTCTGAATGCTAGGCCTTATAATTTTCTGCTCTAATCTTATAAATTATAAGCAATAATTGATTATGAATGTCATCATCATATGATTGCAATGGGAAATTATCTTGAATCTATATGTGTTTTCAAAATTGCTTTTACAATTAGTTCTAAGAGTTATATTAGCAAAACACTAATCTTAATTTCTTATTACATTTTAGCCAGAAGTTGGAGCAAATACATCTTTGAATGCAGATTAATATTTTCGCCATGTTACAGTCCTGTATATACTCCTGTACTAGTGGAAGAGATAGAATTAATTTACTCCAAAACACAGACGCGTAACTCTTAAGCATACCATTATTTATATATCACATTCAACATTTATCATATATGTATACATGCATATTAATGAACATTAAAGATAATATCTGGGACACTAATTTATTTGATTTTTAATTTTGTTTTATTTTTCTAGTTATCCAGTATCCAGATTTGTCAGTCAGGACATATTTATAGAGCACCTATTTTGACAAGGAGGTATACTAATAAACCCTTAAAAGACCCTTCTTTAGTATCTTCAGCTACGTTGCTTATCATTGATTTAGTCTAGGTAATTTAGGGATGTGTGACTACCACGTGTAAGCTCTTTCATTTCCCTTCTCTAGCTTCCTTCTTTATTTCTTCATGCACCACTTGAATATATACATAGATAAGCATATACATCATCTCTCTATAGATATACATATATAAACAAATACAAAAAAGTCATATATGGATCTGCTATTAATATTACTATTTCAGGATTATAAGTATCAAAGAATGATATCAGCAGTGGATACAATTGCTAGTGCAATACAACATCCATTTCTGTGTGTCTGTATATGACTTTTCTTTAAAAAATCTAACTTGGCCAGGCATGGTGGCTCACTTCTATAATCCCAGCACCACTCCCTTCTTTATTTCTTCATGCACCACATTTCACCTTCGGCACTCTCAAAAGAGAATGGAGACTTTCCAAAGCTAATCATTAAAACGCAGGTTTCTGTTCCAGCCTATTCCTACTTCTCATAAACTTTCCTGCAATATTTCACTCCTCCCTTGTACTCTGTCTCTTTTTTAAACAAATGCAGATTTTTATCATGAAACAGTCCTCCTTGCTTCATCCTACTACTTTGAATAAGCACCTACCCCAGTCAAACAAATACTCCATTTAACAATTTTGACACTCAATTGTATACCATTATAACTGGATTATTGTAGGTGATTAGTAAATGACCTCCTCATCTGTAAACTCAATAGCATTTCCTCAAGTTTCTTACACTTGACATAGCACATACGCTTTCATATAATACTTTTTATTCCTCAGACATTTCTAACATCCTATGTCTTCTCATAAATTTTAATCAATCCCCCTATAGTTTTTAAAGCTGTCATTCTTTTGTTTCTATGCTTTCTTATTTATCAATCTGACATTCTTAGAAATTAGTGGGTTTTTTTAATGTGACAATCATGGAATTGAAAAGAAAAAAAAGTGAGCCTGAAAACAGGGTGAGTTTGTAAAAACTTCATGCTCTAAATTTAGAATTAAATAATAGTCTAAAGAATGTCATCTTCAAAATTCTAATGTTCTAAAAAGTATGAAAGGGCCAGATGCAGTGATTCATGCTTGTAATCCCAGCCATTTGGGAGGCTGAGGTGGGAGGATCACCTGAGCTGAGGAGTTTAAGACCAGCCTGGGCAACAAGGCAAAACCCCGTCTTTACAAAAAAAATACAAAAATTAGGCAGGTGGCAGTGTGCACCTGTAGTCTCAGCTACTTAAGAGGCTGAGGTGGCAGAATTGCTTGAGCCCAGAGGGTATTGAGGCTGCAGTGAGCCATAATCGTGCTACTGCTCTCCAGCCTGGGTGACAAAAGAAACTGATTGCTAGATAAGATTTCCCTGAAAACAGAACCTTACGTATACTTGATATAGCAGATAAAAATGCTATTAACAAAAATTGGTAATAATTATGACACTCAACCATTGCAATGACTTTCTAACTTTTCTAACCTCTCTGTCTTCCCTATTGTTCTATTCTTTCTCCAAAATCCTCAATTTAAGCATCTCCATCAACATAAGCCTTAGCTTCCACCCTGGTGATTAACTCATGCATAACAGACTTTCATGGCTTCCTTTACTGTCTCTGTGAAAATGACTGCCAAGTCTTAATAAATCTCTCTCTCAAAAATTCCAGATTCTCATTCTCAATTGTCTGCATACCTTATTTATCTGTATGTTCACAAGTACCTGAAATTCATCACCTCTAAACTAATTCCATTATTTAATCTATGTGGACCCCAATCTTTTTTCTTGATACAGTTGTTTTTTAGTTTTACTGCCATATTTTCAGCCATTCAAACTCAGAAACTACTAGAATGGTACGAATTTCCTTCTCTTCACTTATCTCAACTCATCAGTTGATAATTTATTTAGCTTCTAACTTCATAATTAATATTTCATTAAATCTGGCAATTCTTTTCATCCACCTAAAATCTTACTGTCAGTTTTCCTTTCATACTGCCATATATCTTAACTGAGCAGATACACTTCATAATAATGTCTATTTGATCCGAACTGCATAGAGATTCTAAGCAATATTCCTAAAACTGAATTTCAATTACAGAATCTTGTGTTAGTCATCTCCCATCAACCTAAAATTATACGCTGCTATACAATGCCCCCATATTCTAGCCAAATATATTTATTATTCTTCCAATTTTACATGCAAAGTCCTTCCTTTATGCCTTTGCTCATTTTATCAATCTCTACTGTCCTGTCTTTTCATCTTGCCTTATTGAAATCACTATGATTCAAGGACTAGTATTTCCTTTTCATTCCATGATATGAGCTCTCTCTATAAAACTCCATAGTACTTTCTTTGTACCTCACTGGAAGTACCCATTATATTCTGCTTGTATTACTATTATTTGTATGATTTTCTGCTGTAACCTCCCTTTCTCGATTGTAAACTCACTGAGAAAAGAATCATGTGAAGTATAGAGCTCTTCATTAAATAAGAGCTCAATACATACTTGTTAAATCATGTTAGCCAAACAAAGCTTTAACAAAAAAGAAGATAATTCATTAAAATAATTCCTAACAGACATGTTTTTGCTTTCTCAATATTTTGTATACAAATCAGAAAAAAACAAAGTTGAATAAGATAAAGTTGAACCATTCCATTTGCTTGCCTCACTATATCATGCATATGATGGGTAAGTAAACCCAAAGGAACTAGCAGAGCATTTGTAAGTCATCAAGGAAAACATTATCAAATTAATACAGCTTTTTATCACCCACTGGAAAGGCTCAAAACAATTAAACTGGCTTAAGAAGAGTCAGCCTTATCCTTAAGTGCAAATTATAAATAGAGGCATACTGAGTAAATATTAGCAACGTGTTCTATCAGCCGGAAACTGCTAATTAAAATAACTTACCTTATAACTAAGATAACCAAGTAATATTGTTTCAAACAGACTTATCAATGCCACTGAAACCTGAAATATAAATTGTAACTTAATGAGAAAACACAATAAAATTAAATTATATACACTCTTGGCCATACTACTAACTTTATTTAAATATATGTGCATTTATAAATATATGTGTGTACAATAGGAGATATTAGGTGGCACTTTATCTTCTATACACAGATGACAGGCTGCTGGCCACAGTTTGCTGTCTCCTGTGCTACAGCTTAGTTTTCATGCATTCTAACACTTCTTAATAAACCATTTTTATTTATTATTCAAAATGTGAAGTTGGTATTAAAATAGACTGGCTGAAGTTTACATGACAAATAAAGAACAGCTTTTTTTATGTGTGTGTTTCTTTTGAAAAAAAAATTTTTTTAAGAGAAATAGTGTCTCACCATGTCCAGGCTGGTCTTGAGGCCCTGTGCTCTAGCATCCACACACCTCAGTCTCCCTAAGTGCTGGGATTACAGGCATGAGCCACCGTGCCCAGCCACGTGTGTGTGTGTTTCTAATACATACAATCGCAGCACACAACTGGCCACCACAGACAACTGCTCTATCCCAGAAGCACCAACATCTGTATCAAAATCAGCATTTCTCTTCAGAAAATACAGAAAATGAAATAATATACACTTTAAGTTTAATACTATATTCAATCCTATCACCCATGTCAAACAAAATAAAAAGCCTGTGTCTTCGACTACTAAACAAAATAGACCATATCAGCACTTCAAAATACTTTCAGAGTTTATTTGAATGAATTTCATAACCAGTTCCCCTTTTGCGGATAGAAGTGTTAGTCCTATCTTCCTATGCAGACTTCTGTCTTTCTCTATATTCTATATTGTATATGCCATCCTTACTGTTAACTTTCAAAAACACATTACTGCACCACAAAAAGTGACAGGAAAAGGTAACAAAATTATTCTGTGTTAAATACTCTAAGACTTTAGGATAGATAAATAGAATCAAATAAGCAAATGTAAATAAAAAGTGACTCAGGTAAACATATGTGTTTATAGATTTTGAGGTTTAAGACTATTTAAATGAGAATAGCAGATACTCTGGAGATTACATTTTGTCTCCTGTCAGGATAAAAACTTTGAATTTAAAAGAATATTAAAACATGAGAACAATAAGAAAACAGATAAAATGCATGGCAGTGTAAGTAAAATATGTTCAGAAGTATGTGCAGTAGCCAGGTATTATTATGACAGGAAACTCTAATCTCTTTTTTTTCTCCATAAATCCTCTAGATCATAATTACTCATCCTTTTTTTTGTAGAAGTACATGGTGTTAGATGATCTCTAGAACATTTTTAACATGTTACTCAAAGTACCATTTAAAAATAAGCATCATTATTTTAAAATATCACTATTTTAAAAAGCAATTTGAATAGATCAAAAAATATTTGAAGATAATATATGGCTATTCATGAAACAGTTTATTTTAAATGTGTACTTAATTAAAGGATAGCTCAGATTAAAAGACTTTAATGAATATTTCAATATTTTAAGAGTTATTTATAAATTAATATGATATTGCAACAGAAGGAAGTCAAAGTAGGGAAATGTAAAAAAACAACTTTAACAAAACAAAATACTAAGACACAGTAAAAACTTGATTTCATGGCTATGATCACAATGCACACATACTTTAAAAAATTCATTATCACATACAAATGTACAGACTTCACAATTATCTTGTGAAAAGGCATCTGGAATGAGTGTTGAATGAGAGATATTGAAGACTTGGAAGAGTGAGAAGGTAAGAAGGGATGGGTGATGAGAAATTACTTGATGACGCAACGTACATTATTCGAGTGACGGATATAGTAAAAAGGTAGACTTCACTGCTACTCAAAATATCTATGTAATAACATTGTACTCATACTCCATAAATGCATACAATTTTAAGTAAATAAATAAAGTACTTTAAAGATTGTTCCTAAGCAGTGAGTCTTAAAAAGTCTTTCTCTTTTTTCTGGACTCTAGTGTCTTCCTACCTGAAATTTTTTTTGATGTTAGTGATTATATTCTTCCAATAATTTGTAATTTTTTAAAGCAAAAGAAAATAAAAAGGATCTGTAGTAAGTAAACAGAAGTAGAGGAGATAGAAACTTACAAAAAGTTTGCTGGGCATGAAATTCAGTAGAAAACAAAACAAAGAAGTAATGGAGACTCTAGGGAACACCTCAACAAGACATGTTGTGCTCTTTCGTATTTCATATTCTTAGTCTTTGTTAAAGACTCCTTTTATGCTAGGGAATAATTTTTATTTTATTTACATGATTAATTGCTTAAGAGCTAAGCTCTTATGGTGATATGAGTCACTAATTTGTTTATTCATTCAATAATTATTTACTGATATTCTACCATGTTCCAGACACTAAGAATACAAGGTAAAAAGCAAACCCAGTTATGGGCTTTAATAAAGGAATGACATAACAGGAATACCTAATGTACTTTGGGAAAACTTGCGAAGCCTTACAGCACTGGTTTACTTTGGTTTTCTCCAGACTCTCAAAAGCTCTTTAAAATCTAATCCTGATCATGAGGAAATCCTCAAGAGGTAGAATGCAGGGCTCAGACAAAGAAGAAGAAAACAATAAAAATGTTAGTTCAAGATGTGTATGAAGATTAATCAAGCAGAAAGACAAACTCACTTTGAACATCACAAGCTTTCCAATAGTACTTTTCTGTGAATATGAATAAACCCAGAGATACGGGGATAAAACAAAATTGTACATAACCTGTAAGCCCCACAAAGGTAGACTTCTGTTCACCCAAAAGATATGAGACCTATAAAAAGAATAATAAGTTAGTTTTTTAAAATGTGAAAAATGTATTCACTTTTAAAATTCAGTTAAAGTTGGAAATATTGAAATAATGCTAGCATAAAAAACACAAAATATCAAAATTAACATTTGAAGAAATGTTTTTGCCTTAGTTTTCTTTTTGCTAATATTTATTTCTATTCCTGTAAAAACTTTTTAAGTTTCATTTTTGGTCACTGTTAATAAATTAAAATATAATGAGACATTATTTAAAGAATGATAACTCAGAGCAGAATAGCCTCAAATCTTTTACTGGATAATTCTACACTGAAAAGTCACTTAATAGTCTTCTCTAAACTTTAAAAATTTTTAAATTTTTACCAGGACATATATTTTGGGTAATAAAAATTCAACAGTATAAATAACCATTTAAAAAGTCAGTAACAGAATATACAACACAATAATATTTCAACTTGAAGTTTTATAAAATACGCAACATACCACGAAAAAGTGTGACCAGGGTTAGCTTACTGGACAAGACAAGGAGTAATCATCTTTACTCCTTAAAAATGTTGTCTTTTCTGATGATAAAGAGGCTTATGCTCTGGAAAGAACATCATGACACTTAATATCCCTCTAATTATAATTTTCCACAATTTATAATCTAGCTTTGTCTATATCATTTATTACACACTTGATTCAAATGGGAGTCACTCACAGCAATACACCCTACTCAGGAAAAATGAAAACAGTTACACTTTCCTGAAGAGAAGCAGGTGAATGGTAGTTTTTCACATCTCAGTAAATGGTGCCAAATCCCATTTTATTTGGTCACCCAAAACTTGAGCATCCTTTTAGATACTTTCTCCCTTGCATCTTTAAATACTAAATTCACTAGCCACCAAACCTTTTCAACCATTCCCACCAAATACCTGCAGAATTCACCTGCTTCTCTTCATGCCCACTACCAAAAATCACCTTATTGCAAGCTACCATTTCTCACAACTGAATGCTTGCAAAAACCTAGCAGTGGAAACTCTGCGCCTTCGTTTACCTTCTACCACTTTTCTCCAAGTTGCAAATGCACTGATTCTTTCAAAATTCATTTTAGATCACATTACACTATTCCCTACTGGGTATCGCCTTTGAACTTTTGTTAGAATAAAGATCAAAACAGTTGACATGGCGGTCTTAGACTTATTCAAGTGGACACACTCCTTCCTACTACAAGCCTTTTTTACATTCCATCCTCTCATCCTAGAAGTCTCAGCTAGAAGTCTCCCTGTTCTCAGGGCAACCCTCTCTGTGGATTCCACTTGATAAACTTTGTCAACTAATCCCCTGGGCCATGTCACCCATCACACCTTTCCTGTCACTCATCTCAGTGAAAACTTTATATTTATTTGTAAATGTATTTCTTTAATGACTCTCTCCTCACAATTACAAGTTCCATAAGACAACATAATCTAACTATTTTACTCACCATCATAAACCCAATGCCTTGCTAAGTATATGCATATGTTAAACTAGGCAACCAATAATCTAAGATAAACGGTGCCAATAAAGGCAAAGATATAACTTACGGATTCAGTATCACTGTCCTTTCTAAGAAAACGTTTATATTCTGAGTAACATTTGAGAAATCAGACTACAACAAGGTGTATCAGAGTGAAGAGGGATATGTGCCCAAGTTTTGCAAGTGGAAAAATTATGTGCTACAAAAGCCACTAAATTCTCAAGTAGATAGCAATGTCTGCAAAATTATAAAATCAGTTGCTAAACAGAAGTGCATGAGCACTTTCAAAGAAAAGTTGGTAATTAACATAGAGTATTAAAGTTTGCTTGACTTTTTAATAATTGCTGTTTTTACTGGCCTGAGATGGCATCACATTACGGTTTTGACTTGCATTTCTCTAACGATCAGTGATGTTGAGCTTTTTTTCATATGTTCTTTGACTGCATAAATGTCTTCTTTTGAGAAGTGTTTGTTCATAAAGTTTGCCTAGCTTGGGTTGTTTGGTTTTTTCTTGTAATTTTTTTTAAGTTCCTTTTAAATTCTAGATATTAGACCTTTGTCAGATGGGTAGATTGCAAAAATTTTCTCCCATTCTATAGGCTGTCTGTTTACTCTAATGATAGTTTCTTTTGCTGTGCACAAGCTCTTTCGTTTAATAAGATCTCATTTGTCAATTTTGGCTTTTGTTGCAATTGCTTTTGGTATTTTTGTCATGAAGTCTTGCCCATACCTATGTCCTGAATGGTTTTGCCTAGGTTTTCTTCTAGGTTTTTATGCTTTTGGGTTTTACATGTAATCTTTAATCCATTTTGAGTTAATTTATGTATAAGGTATAAAGAAGCAACAAGAAGGGAATAAAAGTAGCAGATGCATCATCATCAAGTAAAATAACAACATTAAAATTGAGGAAAAAGTCATTAAAATATTGCTCTAGGTCAACCAGTATGTATGTGTTATGTATATGTCTGAGTATACAGAGAATCTGTAAAATGTCTTTAAAATGCCTCATTCTAGGTATTGAGATCTGAGATAATTTTTACTTCCTTGCCATATATATCTATATTGTAATACGCATGAGCCCTTTTAAACGATAAAATACACAAATTTCCCTTTTCAAAAATATAAAAAATTAAATAACAAATACAAACCAAAACCCAAATATATATCATTTAGCTATTCTGAATTAGACTATTCTGTTGATAAAATTCATGTCTGAAGCATAATTTGAAAACTAGAGATACCATACCAAACAATGGAAGAAAAAGCAAAAGTTAAATATAGAAACTTAATAACGTAGCCTCAGCCACTTTTCACAGAACGTTTATGAACTATCTTAAAAGTCGGAAAATAGATGGTAAAAGTGTGAGAACAGCTGTGGCAGAGGAGGTGAGAGTCAGAGGTGAATATGTTTAGCAGAAAAACAAACCATTTGAAAGTAATAGGGTTAACATGCAGGACATAATTCACATGAAAGGATATGTTGCTCACAAACCCAAGATGAACTCAAAGACTGATAGCACTCCAAAAGAAACCACAAAAAACTAATGTAAGCTTGTAATGTGCTAACAAATAATAAACAAATAAAACAGGGGGTAAATTATACGACTCTCCTGGCCATAATACACACTAAAATATCAGTGCTGGATATGATACTAAGCCCACATTTCAAGACAAACGTAAAATATTTAATACACATCCAAAAACTAGGTGGGCAAGATAGGAAAGCATATGAGTCTTGCCAATATGTTGGAAAGACTTTTCAGTATTTGAATCCTTTCAAAACATTGAAAACATTCAACCCCAGGTTAGACAACCATCAAGGGTGTTATAGAGAAGACTGATAACTCTTTGAAAGAACGGACAGTAAGGGTGCTTCCACCAGATATAACATTGGCTGTGACAGAGTTGGCTTTCGCATTCATTCTCCCCCTTCCACGGCACAGAGTCAAGGGCAAAAAAAGCCACTCTTCAGTTGACTACATTTCTCAGTCTTAGTGTCAAGGTATGATGATATAACTGGTTCTCACATCGGATCTGAATATGAATTACAAGTAAAAGTGATGTTTGTCATTTGCTGGCCCATAATTTTTAAAAGGATACAGTATATGCCTTCTCCAAGCTCTCTTTCTCTTTCGGAAAGCTGGATGCAAAAAATCTCAGTCTTAGGACAACACATATACCACAAAATTCAAAGGGCTTGTACCTATAATACCTACCATGTTATGGAGAGAGAGAGAGAGAGAGAGAGAGAGAGAGAGAGAGAGAGAGTGTGTGTGTGTGTGTGTGTGTGTGTGTGTATGTGAATCATTTTATGGAGAAAAGGTTCACAATGACCAAAAGTATAAGTGTTAGACACCAGTAAACAAAAAGTGCTTTTACATTTTTGAGATTTGTTAAAGAATGTAGTCCTACTTGAATCTAAAAAATAATCAATATACATAAAAGAAGAAAAGGTCTACATTAAAATATTCATTCCTATTGATCATCAAATATTTAAGAGCTATTGTCAAAATTCTATTTATTCCTTTAACAGCTGTTACCCTGAGAAAGAAATATTATTTAAAATTTGAATTTCACTTAAACACTGTTTGTTATACTAGGCATTGATTTTAAATGCAATCCAAATACCATTAAATATAAACCTGTTCATGTACTTCTTACCTGCTTCTGTATCACTTGATGTTAAAAACTATCATTGCAACAATTTTTAAAGTGGAAACAGATGCACAAGTTTTGACACAGTGATGAACTGTAAGCACCAGCAGACAAGGAGTTAATGCTGATGGCTCATCTTTCAATGTCATTTACAAGCTACATGCTGCAAGTGTCCTTCCTTTGTTAACATCTTTAAATAATTTACTATACACTGTGGGTACATCACAGTTTTCCATTCACACATCATATATTAACAGTAAAATTCTTTTCATATTCTTTCAGTTTTTCCATATGATAAGGTTTTCATATCAGTTTTGATTTCCAAAAGGAATTTAAAAATAAAGCAAAGCAGCACAAAATATCTGCAGACTTATCATGTCAGAAGCTCTAATTACATAAATCTCTTTGCTTAATTGGCCTCATTATTTTAAAACAGAGGCTGTGCCCATAAAGGCAACTTCTGTTTTTCATTAACCAATACTGCATTGACAATGGAACTAAACAGAACATTGTATTCAAAATGGAACCATAAATGTTTTTAATTACAGTAATCTGATTTTTCAAATGTATATCCTCTATAATTATGGCCAAATATTCTTAGTGATATTACATAGAAGTTAATTGTAGGAAACTTTGTTCCTCCTGTTTTCAAATAATATAATTTTACTCTGCCAACACCCACCAAATGCCCTTTTACCCTTAGAAGGATTCATCATGCCTCATTTTATGATTTTCAGGTCTCACTAGTATGCTTTTTATTTATAAATCACCGCATGTTAAAAATACTTCTGATATGATTGTAGAATAATTTGTTACGTGAACCACTTTAATAACACTGACATCTCCAGGCATTAGTCCTCAATCATTTTTGTTGTGCAACACACTATCAATAGAATTGCTGAGAACCATTTCATTAATTCAGCAGCATTCACTGACCCACCAAGTCCTGTGCTTAGTATGATAGCTACGGAGGCAAACACAGCATGGTTCTTGCCCTTAGTGAGCATACAGAAAGGAGAGAGAAGTGAATGGTAACATAAGGGGCATGCTTTGATTGTTCTGAGAGAAGTGTGTGGGAGAGCACCCAGAAGACACTCCTAACCCAGAGTGGAACTGGGCTACAGTGCACAATACCCATTAAGGATTTTAGATCAATTGTTCTCCAAAAAGTTGTTTTCCTGAAGCCCTGGAGTCCAGGAACAAGTCAAACAAGTGTGGTTTGTGAGGAGCAGGAAATCTAATTTCCCAGAAGAGGGAGCAGAATATTCAAAGGCTCAGAGAAAGGGAGACCAAGTTATAAGTGTATAAGTTACTTCAAGTAGTTCAGCATAGGCTGGTGAGGTGGAGTAGGCAAAAGTTAGATTACTAAGGAACTTCTTTTACTCATGTATCCATTCATTCATTTAACAAATGACTATTGTTTGCCACTTTGTATTGGACTCTGGGGATTCAGACAGTGATCCATGATGTCATGGAATATCCACTCTAGTATTCATGGAATCCACAAAAAACAAAGTAAAAGTAAAATTAGCAGAATACATAAAAGAGAAAGAGGCAATAGAGAAAAAATTAAAAGAAGAAAATTATTAAGGGAATCTCATCAGGAGATTACAATTTTAAAGCTTAATATTATCTGAGGAAGGGTGCCTTATGTTATCTGAAGGAAGAGAATCCTGGACAAAAAGAAACACCCCATGAAGGACCTAAGCTGGGTGTGTCTGGTATGATCAAGGAACAGAAAGGGGCTAATGTGGCTGGAGCAGACTGGGTGTGGGATGAGTAGTGGGTGGTGAAGTGATAAGGCCATGATAAGTACTTCGGCAATCACAGTACAGTCGTATCAAGATGTGACTTATGTTTTACAGAAATAGTTTCTACATTAAGAATACATCAAAAAGAAACAAAGGCAGAAATAGCAGGAGTAATTAATTAGTAGGCCACTGCAGTACTCCAGGTGTGAGAAGGTAGCTTGTACCAGCGTGGTAGCACTGAGAAGTGATTGTGTGCCAGGTTTATCTTGAAGGTAGAAATGATAGAATTTTCTAAGGGATTTGTATATGCTGCAGAAAAGTAAAGAAGGGCTCCAAAGCTTTTGGGCCAAGCAACTTTTCGGCTGTATTGTTATCAGCTGAAATGTGGAAGGCTATGAGTAGAGCAGGGTTTGAAGGAAGGATCAAGTTTTCATTCATTGAGATGTGGAAGAGCACTAAAAAGCCTAACTGAAACACGGTAAGTCTGAAATGTCTTGAATATCAAAGTAGAAAAGTTGAATATGCAGTTGCAATTTGGGGGAATGGGAACACACTGGTTTCCTGTGGTCACTGCGCTAAACAGAGGTAAAAAGCATAGTAAGCCTAGTCCTGAGAGTCTCAAAGCAGAGTGGAAAATAAAGAAAATCTCTATTTCTTTATATATAAGGTGAGAATAACAAGATGAAGTATATACTGAAGAAAATAACACATGTAAGAAACTAGTCTACTGACAGCAATAGCAGGATCTCCAAAATAAACAATCTTTTCACAGACTAAAAATTCCATAAGGGTACCAAATGTTCCTATGCATTTTTATACCTTCACTAATAGCAATGTGACTGGTACATGCTAAGGACTCAATGAAGATATCGTGACATATTCATAATTATATTTCATTAAATTATTTTATGAAGAATTATCACAATTACATGATAAAACTTCACTTACTAATCTTTAACATTAAATAAATACAAACCTTACAAATACCTTATTACATGATAAAACTTCACATACTAATCTTTAACATTAAATAAACACAAACCTTAAACAAATACAGAATCATTTTCACTACCTAAACAAGCTGAGGGGTAACCAATTCATTTAAATGCATATTATGAGCTCACTTTCCATCTTATTTTGATCTTTTCATTTTTTAATTTTCTTAGGGCAGACTTTTACATGAGGAAATAATTGTATGGACATTAGTCACCAAATTTAAGTTTTTGGTTTTGAAAATTATTATAAATTTAGTAGGCTGGACAAGGGTCCTAGATGATTATGAGATAAATATTATGCATGCAATTACACACCCAGTACCTTTCCCCACTGTTTCTAGCAAAGGGCAGAGCCTAAAAAGGAAAATCCACAAATGACTAGAAATACAATTTAATAAGAGCAACACAATTATGAGCACAAAATAAGTCAATAAACCAATGTCATTTAACTCAAATAAGATAAAGAACTGCACAGTTAAAACTGGGTCTTGAGATAGATATCCTTCCCAATATGATAGAGTGTTTCCACTGAAGGTTAATAACAACTTATTATTATGAAAATATAAAACTGTCATGCAGTAGAGTAAACCTTTTGGGAGTATCTGAAAATCAAGAACAGAAAGGCATTCAGGTCTTTAAAGAGACTCACCCATTTTTAAACAACTACTTAATACACTCTGGCAAGCAATAAAATTGTATGTCTTACAGTCCAATATTAGCATCAGAAAAACAGAAAAATAATAAAAGATACTTACAAAGAACCTACAAGAATTGTATTTATGTAGTGCTTGTAAACCAGATCAATTTAATTTGTGACAAACACCTAAAACATCCTTAAAAATTAAGTTCTATACAACGTTCTTTAAATTTAAAATGTGAAACAATTCAAAATAATCAAAATAATATTGTAGAAGGTCAGAAAAAGGTACCTTACCATTCATTTCCTTGTGAAGGGTTTTCTAGTAGTACTCGGATTATGTATAATAAGCAGCTTAGTAATTTGAGAGAAAAATTGAACAGGCGTATCCTTAGACCTTTAAACAAACAATAAAAGTTTGATTTTCATTTGAACTTAGTTCACAAGACTAAAAAGAATTGTCAAAAATATCAACTTTAAATACAGCACTTAAATTGTATTTAGAAGCTACACTACTATAATTGTCTAAACTCTCTGAAGTTCTTGGTAGCTGAATTTTAATCACCTGAATATTGAAACAAAAAACAAGTTTGACAGAATACTTGAACTGCAAATGAGAGTGCATATTTTATACCAAGAGTAAATCTAGATTTGAACATTAAGAAGCCATAAAATTTATGTCCAATCAAGGTTGATTCGAGTATGCTTGTAAGTTTAGGCATTTTATATATCCATAAAATTTGGGATAAAGTTTAACTGGTTATTAAATTTAGCTGTTTAAAAAATTCACAAGCCAATTTATAAAACTTGTAACTTCACGGAATCTTGTAGATTTGATTATTAAAAACTTATATTTGTATGGTTCTATGTTATATATTTAATATTAACTGTATAATTATAATACATACCAATTCATAATTATATATCATTTATTCATTATATAATAATATACATTATCTAATTATATAATTATAGAGAAATCATAATAGCATACACTGGAAAACACACACACAATCAGTCTCTCCATCTCTCTCTCCCTCATATACACACACATACATTGAAAGTTCAACAAATTAAATTATATTTTTAACTACATAAAATACCCATGAAATCCTAAACTGTTGTGGGAATTAAAACTGCCATGTATGTATATTTTAAACTGTGTAGGTCACAATTATTCAGCCTGTAATATTTAATGATGATAAAGAAGAGTATTTAAGATTAATCAAAATATGCATAAAGTCTGATTAATATGAGCATTATCGTTCCTGTAATTACCTTGTGATATCTGATTCATGCATTATGAATAAAATTTTGACAAAGGCCTTCCTATAATTATTACTTAGTAAAATCTAGAAATGAAATGTCACTTTTTTTGTCCTACATCACTGTTGTGAGTGTACTTGTGGTAACATTTCTTACAAGTAAAAAGGTTAATGCTTATTAATTGTGAAATTTCTTCTAGGTTTTCCTATTAAAATGCTGAGTACATTTTATGGGTTTGCTTTCTTATAAAATCTTTTAAATTATTAATGAAATTGTGCTGGTTTTATAGAAATGGGCCTCCTCAAATGACCACTCAGTTGCAGCTGACTACAGGTGAAGTATTCCAACAATGCACCTACCTTTCCTGGCCTAGAAAGACAGGACTGTCAGTATTGAAATCAGGGAAATCTATTCAGATGCTGTGATCCCTTTAGGTAATATCTATTTATGAGGCTTCTTTGAATATTCTGAACAACCATATTAGAAAAGCATTAGTTACTAACAGTCTTAACCTTGAGGCCAGGCTGTTATTAGGACTACCTGAGCAGTATGCCTTAAATATTGAAATATTCTGTATCAGTATTTGGATAACGTCCCACAATTCAAGCTTCTCTCTTTGAGTCCTACCTACAGAGGCACAACTTAATTTTGACAAGAGAATTTGGAGGTCAAAATTCACAGGGCTTAACCTCTACACCAACTAATGCAGACCTCTCCATTTCTTGTTGACACTTTAAGCAATAACCATCAAAAAAACTGCATATTGGCTTATTACATATATGGCATTATGGGAAGCAACAAGTGTCAATGGCACTTTAATCTTGAATGGGCTCAGGAGGACAGTGACTATGCCAATTTTGTCTTCTGGAAGTTCTACTTTGTTACTTTTTTACATTTGTGTGATTTTAAAAATCACTGGGATGTTAAACTTCTGGGATCTACCCTACACTTCCTGGCTCAAAAACGCCAAGCTAAGAAAGACAGGTATCTGTATATTTCAGTGCAACCTAGATGTTTCTTATTATTTGGAATAATTAGGAAATATTAAATGTTTCCTTCCCTAAATCAGACAATTATTTCCCACTGTGGTTTGTCAGAACTTTCTGAAAATATAATATTTAGAGTTAAAATGTGGGGACCCTCATTTAAATCATTTTCCTCAGTGTTTCTACTAACCCAGATAGTCCACTCAGAGTCAACTTATTGACACGGAACTTGGAGAACTGATGATGTTCAAGAGGCATTAATATCATAACCGATTTTATTTATCTACCTAAAAAGTATTTTGCACAAGATTACGCAGCTCAAATATTTTGAAGTAAATATATGTACAAACAAAGAGGGGAATGAAATAAATAACTTACTTGATCTCTGGTTTTTTATGAAAAATAATTTTAGTCTCTCTTTAAATGTGTTTTCATTCATATAGAATTCAACTTGTACCCTGCAAACAGAAAATAAAAACATCTAAGTGTATGCAGCCATATCTTTATTTTTATGAAGATCAACAAATATAAAATGGTCTGTAGTTCTCTAATTAACTTAAAGAATAATATATTTTTAAATGCATTATTTGATTTAATGCATTACATGTTTTAGTGAATTACCTGCCATGGAAGATGAGAATTGATTAAAGTGCTGATTTTGAGAGAAGCAGTTACTTTCCACTTTTAAAGATACAGCCATTTCAAATATTATGCACAGTCAATTCAGCTATTTGTATTAATGAATGTAATGAGTGGTATAGATTTTTCAAAACAACACTAATGCAAACATCTTGACCATGTGTCTTCAAAATGGTTTTGAACCAGTGCTTTCCCCATTTTTACCCCCTGTTGTAAGAATCAACTGATGCTTGAAAAATTCTGTTTGGGCACCACCGCACAAATCTACTGAATGAGAACATAAAAGAGCAGGGCCTAATAACCAATTCTTAAGCCCCTGCACTATGCCTGGAGTCTATTTAGGACACCACACTCTGTAACACTTTACCTTCTTATTTATGGATCAACCAAGAAGTAGTAGTGCCAAATAGAGCTGTTAAAGTTATCACAGATAGATGATAAAGCAACAACTCAATTACTAGACTGCATACGATATATTTAACCCACTATACAATAATATTAACTGTCTAAAATAACAGCATCAATTTAATAAACACTCTAAATTCTAGCAAACTGTTTCCCATGTGATAAGGCATAATATTTTCAAAATACTTAGTGAAAAGAGAAATCTTATTCAGTGCAACATAATTTCTAAATAATACTCAATTTCCTTAATTAGTCTCAAATAAATGTATTATAAGTTAGAATTCCAAAAACAGCTAAGAAAGGACTTTAATGTTTACACAGAAACAAAGATTTAATTTCATTTTTCCTAATATGAAAATGTAATTTATATAAGCCAGATAAGGATTGGGGGTCTTTTTTTTTTTTGCATGGGGGTGGGGGAGCTTATTTGTTTTTTATTGTTTTGCAGGAGTATATACCTAGGAGAAAAAAAATAACTGACATTATAAATCTGCTCAAGTATTTGAGAAATATTTCACTACTATATTATCTTATAAGCTCTCTATTACCCTGCTTATTCAAGGAAACCCATAAATAATTTAAAAGCAGTCTCTTGTGTCACAAAAGCAACAGGGCATTTTTCAAATTAATTAAAACCAAGTTATATGTGTTGTATCTTCTAAAAGACTTGAGTGTCCTTTTGTATCTTCTCTCTAAAGAATATATTTCTGGGGCCGGTCGCAGTGGCCCATGCCTGTAATCCCAGCACTTTGGGAGGCTGAGGCAGGTTGATCACAAAGTCAGGAGTTCAAGATCAGCCTGGCCAAGATGGTGAAACCCTGTCTCTATTATAAATACAAAAAATTAGCCGGGAATGGTGGCATGTACCTGTAATCCCAGCTACTTGGGAGGCTGATGAGGAGAACTGCATCAACCCCGGAGGCGGAGATTGCAGTGAGACAAGATCGTATCACTGCACTCCAGCCTGGGCAACAGAGTGAGGCTCTGTCTCAAAAAAAAAAAGAATATATTTCTATTTTTATTTCCTGGTTAACATATTCTCACTTAGCTTTTTCTTCACCTTATATATCAAATAAAATTGTTTTAAAGTAAACAAAATTCTCTTGAGTTGATAACGTCTCCAGAAAGAAGCCACTGAAATGGCAATGATATCTTTCAGCAGAGCATTTCCATCTCCATGCCCATGTACATGCACACACACCTACAAATCTACATGCATATACATGCTACAAAAGTTCATGCACACACAAATAGAAACAAAACTTCCTTGATGTCTTGGAAATCCATTATTGGACATGTTTCCCTTATTTATCAAATGAAAAGTCAGTTCATTTTAAATATGGTAACTGTAAATACCAAGAACAAGCTAAAATAATTAAAATTTGTTATGGATACATAGCAAATTTGAGAGGACATATGGCTATCAAACAAATAATTCAGCAAAGGCCATGCAGATTTGCTTCCTAGAATCATCAAATTTATAAGAATGAGTCCATTTTTCAGATAATATTGGTGCTCAGTACTGGGTATAGAAGAGAGGAGCATTTTTTCACTACAATGAGATCATCTAAAGCCTTAACTAAAATAATGAGGAGTCTGGAAAGCATAGCATGTGTAGAAAGGTAGAAGAAACTAGAAAGAATTCATAAATATGAAGAGTTAGTAGTCACAGTTGTCTTTAAATATTACAGTGACCAACATTATTAGAATCCAATGTCACATAATGTGTTTCCCTAATAAATGAAATTAATAATAGATAAATATACAAATTATGAAAGAGAATTACCCAACTTTGGAATGGCCATCAGTGTGGAGAGCTCTCTAGTACCTATAAATGTGCTAAAGGCTGGACAACAGCTTGCAAGGAAAGACAATTTTGCACGGTGTGAAGTCTATCATTAAATAATTTCCTAATCCCAATCTAATTATAAAATTATGTGAAGTAAAACTGTTAATCCTGTGATCTCTCTGAGTCAATATAATCATTGAGGAACACGGATTATATCAAAACATGAAATTATACAAATGTTTTGTAGAGCTAAAGCCAAAAAGCAAGCAAAGTACTTTTTGATAACATGACTTATTTTAGGCCCAGAAAAATGTTCTTTAGGCTTACTGGTTGCAGCACAGAGTACAGCCTTTTTTGATAATTGATTTAATGGTAACTCTTTCCAGCACCAAGGCATGTTAGTGATAGCGTATACTTTTGAGACCTTCTTCAGCACCAAACAGTTTTCCAGCACCCAGGTATTTAGTTCGGTTTAGTGTTCACCCTTCCCAATACTTGTCATGATTTTAACTGATTTTCAGTATTATTGCACTGTTTCCTTTTTCAAGTTTAAACATGGGTTCATCTCCTCCCTCCATTCCTTCCTCCATCTTTTCCTTCCTTTCATCCTGCCTCCCTCTCTTCCTTTTCTTCTGACCTCCCTACCTCCGTCCCTTTATGTGAATTTACTTACATCTAGTAGACTATGTTAGTGTAGTCTTCAGTGCGCTCTTACACTAAGTCCGTGCACTCTTCGTGTACTCTTTCTGGGCCTTCCCCAGAACCACAGAGTTTTGAATTAGGGCAAATTTGCTCTTATCAGTTTTAAAGATGTCATTTTTGTCACATACTTATACAAATGCTAAAAGTTAAGGTAATTTTGTTACATTTATTCAAATACAATAATAATGGTTGTATCTGATAAAAAAAAAAGACACTGGAATTCAAATCATTATTAGGTGGTGTCTTCTGAAATACTTTCTCACTATTTAATAAAGTTATTTTTACATTGATCAACAATGTTTTATTTGAGTAGATCTTATATATTCTTTGTGACACTGATTTCTAGCTATTTTATAATTTTGGTTGCTTTTTAAAAATGTTTTGTTCCAATCTTTAACTTTATGGTTTTGATATTGTAAATGGCTACTATGTTGACCTTTCTTACATGTAGTGATTTTTTTTTTCACATTTATTACTTGAGTTTGCTAGACAGACAATCATGTCATCTGGACATGTTCTCCAGTATTTCTACAGTAAGTCCTCACTTAATGTCATCCACAGGGTGTTTGCGACTTTAAAATAAATGCTATATAACAAAACCAATTTTACCATAGGCTAATTGATGTGAACAAGAGTTAAGTTTCCACTGGCTACAAAAATGTCACCAAACTTCTAAATAAAGACCAAAACACTTTGGATAGTAAAGGTTGAAGGAACTATGAGCTATACATACACTCAAGAAAGACTAATGAAAACAAGCAAGGTTATTTACCCACTTGTTCCAGTTCAGGGTGATAGGGGGCCAGAACCCATCCTAGAAGCTCAAGGGGCCAGGCAGAACCCCACCCAGACAGGATGCCATCACATTGCAAGACACACTCAAACACCAAGGGTCATTTAGACACACTAATTCACCCAACTTGCATATCTTTGGCATATGGGAGGAAACTGCAGTAACTGAAGAAAACCCACACAGATGTGGATAGAACGTGCAAACTCCACACAGTCACCCCAATTAGGAATAGAATTTTTTTTCTCATCAATTTTATAACAAAACAATGTTGAATGAAATGGCATTATTTGAGGAACTACTGTATTTACATTTCATTGTTTTTGCCTTACTTCATTGACTAGCACTTTTGGGGGGAAAAAAGTCAAATAATTGTGGTGTTCCTTTCTTATAAGAGGATGTAATTAATTACACTTGGCTTTTTGTATCCATTAAGTTCCACACCCATGTATTCAGCCAGCAGCGGATAGGAAATATTTGGGAAAAACAGAAAACAACATCTGTACTGACATGTACAGATTTGTTTTTCTTGTCATTATTCCCAAGGCAATATAGTATAACAACTATTTACACAACTTTTATATTTTATTATGTATTACAAGTAATCTAGAGACAAAGTATATTGGAGGATGTGCATAGATTATTGTGCAAATCTCATGCCATTTTATATGAGGGACTTGGGCATTGTGGATTTTGGTTTCCACAGAAGTCCTGAAACCAATCCCCAAGAATACTGAGGAATAATTGTATTTTGGTGATCTTGGGATTCCTTAGATATTTACACTTTACTGAAAATTATATAAGTAATGGATTGGTATTGATTGTTATAAAAAAACATATTGAATTTATCAATCTAATACTATATGGTTGCTTTTCTTTTCACTTACTGATTTGGTGAATTATTTCATCAATTTCTATATGATGCAACTGTTTTTACCTATCCTGGAATAACATGTATTTGTGATGGTAAACAATTCAGGTAATTTACTGCTGGATTCATTATTTTAGACTTTTTCAGGAGTTTTTCTTCTACAGTCATAATGGTGTGATGTCTTTTTTAAATTATTCTAGTATCTTCTAATACGAATTAATTCTTCTATGCTCTGAAATAATTCAGATACTACAGAGATTTT